TTTTCCTTTTTCCTTTCCTTTACCTTTACCGAAATAGCTGGAATCAGTTGGATCATGTTCTGCCTGGTTGGCTCTCCCTTTTCCGCGGTATGACCTAAAACGGCCACGTCCTTTTCGCTTGCCACCCTTTGCTCTTCCCGGTGATCCGGGACGCATTCTTGGTCTTCTTCCCTTTTTGAATCTCCTTGCAACGAAGGCTTCATGGTCGTCAACTGTCCAGAAGACAGCTTCTTCATCCTCGGCGGCAAGAAAGCCTTCCTCAAGGGTGTCTTCGTCTTGGAGCCAGAATCCATCGACTCCGTCGTATTCACCCTGATCGAGGATGAGGAAGTTTCGACCTCCGCGTTTGCGGCGTTGGTCTCTCCTTCCATGGCGGTCCTTCTTGTGAGAAGAGTGCCGAATGTTGGGATCCTGCAGACCAGTTCTGGTCGTTGAGAACTGATCGAACATGGTCTGCCGTACCACAGGGTACGTATAGGTCTCAATTCGGTGACCTTGGTTGGTCAATGCTGTTACCAACCTCTCACGTTGCATCTCATTTAGGTCGGACTGCACTAGGAAGAGAAGAGCTAGGAGATTATCATTCAGAGGAAACGCTCTTCGATGATTGTCAAGGCGTTCCTTGTTCCATGTTTCGAAATAGCGTGCGGCGTATGTGTCTCTCTCGGCTGCTTCCTGTAGGCCCAGGAAGGTTCGGTCTGCCTGCACAGCTTGCATGAAATCTGGATGGGCATCTTCCAGAGCTATCTCTGGTAAGAGATCCATCCATGAGTTTTTCACGCGCTGTAGCACGATCTCAAACTTAGCAATCCAAGTCACAAAGTCTTGGTTGCCCTTCCATGCCTTGAATAGGCCGAGGAAACGCCACAGGAAAACGTACTGTTCTCCTTTCACGAAAAATGGACGCATCTTCTTCTTGAAGTAATCTACTCCATCTGGGGCTGCAAGCCTTTCTCGGTTAAGTGATTCTTTTTGTACTGCGGCCAATCCGGAGAGCCTCGTCTTGAGAGACGGACCTCTTTTGGTGTCATCCAGCGTTGTTATGTCGCACCAGTCGTCAATCAACTGTTCATACTCAAACCACGAAGTGGTGCCATCATAGGCAGGCGCGATCTTGGGCGTTATGCCTAATGATGCAAGCATGCGGTCAGATGTTGCATATGACTGTGCGACATAAGTGGCTGGACCTTGGGAGGTCTCTTCGTTCTCATATCCCCCGGAGGATTGGGAACTGCCGTCGGCTTCGCTATGCGAGCTCGACATTGTGCTGCCTCTTATCCGCTTGGTTAAGCGTTCGGCGAGGCCGACCGCTGTAGCGGACTTTGTGAGGCGGGCGGCCCTTTCCGGGCTCCGCTACCAGAAAACTGTGCCGATACACCCCCAAGGAATACTCCTTGTGAGGAGGTGTATGACCAGTTATTCCCTAAGGATCAAAGGGCAGCGCCCTGCACACGGACAGTAGTTGTTTTGTCTTGCTACGCAAGGAGAGCTTGTCTTGTCTCAATATGGTAAAACCACTGTGAGCCAATGGGCAGCGGAATGTATATGTATGAGCATGCAGCCATTGCTGTAGGTACCTGTTAGAGCTACCCCTTTAGAGGTTTATGGTTTCACCCCCCCACCCTTCCTCCTCCGGCCCCCCCTTCCTCCTCCGGCTTCCCCTTGTTTTTTGTCTTCTGCCTGCTCGTTTTCTTTCACCTTTTCTTCTCTTTCGGCCTGCCCCCGGCTCCACTGTGGGTTTTGCTGCATGTGTTTGCTCTACACTTGCCACACTTCTCCAAGTAGCCCTGACCCTGCAACTAAATTACACCTGCTTTAAGAGGCCCTTCGCAGTTTGGCCCCTGCTCTGCGCCCCTGCTGGCCCTACTGCAGCCGGCGGCCGAGGCGGGCTGCGTAGCATTAGAATTAAAGCTATCATTGACAAGGTTGGCCCATAAATCCGCAAGGGGTGGATACGACTTTGTCCCATGCGCTTATGGCGAAGAGTGTCGCTGGCCGCACGCCTAGCTCCATGATGACCTGCAGCGTCCTGACTGCAATTCAGGCTGACTCCAGGCAAGCATGACAACACCCAGACATACACAACGACAGCAAAGTCACCTGAAAGAACATGCATGTTGTTGGCTTCGCTTGTGCACTTACGCAAGATCCACCGCCCATCCCACAGGCACCGGTCATCTCGCGTTTTGCCCAAAGGCACTCAGACACCTATATGATGCAACTGATCTCACCGCACATTTCGGGGTGGGTCCCTGGCAAAGGAAAGGGTGAATGTGAAGACATATGAAGAAATCCAAGGATTCTTTCCTCCCTGCAGCACGATCGACATTGGCTTTTTGCTTGACTGACCTTGGCAGCCAACCAGCTTCCATTGAGGACACCCGGCACGGGATGACGGCAAACCTTCGAATTAAATGTCCGACATCTCACAAGAGAAAGCCAAGTAATTATGCGCCTTTTGCAATCCGCTGCTGGCGATCACGATGCCAGCTTGCGAGACGCTGCCAACGCTAGTGCCGATTCGGACTTCAGGAGCCATGGACCGTCTCGCAGCTTGGGTGGCCACCGCTGCTGCCCCCGACTGGCCCTGTAAGCTTTGATGTCTACGACGTCCCCTCTGCGTCGCCATCCTTTAGAACATGTGCCGTCTGCAAGAGCGCCACAGAAATCCCAAGTGAGCAACTTGGAGCACGGAAATCCCCTGATCTGGCGCTACCCACTTGCCTGTGCGCCGGTCCATTGAGTCAGCGCTGCAACAAATCTTATTTCCTCCCCTGGGTCCCCCGTTGCATTCGTGAGGGCACACCATGATGCAGAATCGATGCGCGGCATCGTAGGACATCCGAGTCTGTACGACAGCTGCCGAAAGCGGTGCGGTGCCATGATCCCAGCTGCTCGCACCAATATGCGCCAATTATGGGACGTCAAACATCTCAAGAGGCAGCTTGAGCCTTCGCGGCTGCCATGACGTCTGAGTTCTTCCCACCTGCTTAATTAAACTTGCACGCTGTTGCCTCTGCTCGTTGCATCCGCTGAACTCAATGCACGCCTCAGCCGTCTAGAGCTACAGTCCACTACAATCCACTACAAAAAGCTTCCTATGTTGTAGATGAACCCCCCATCACCTCTGATGAACTGGATTCTGTATGCAGACGAATTAAATTCCCAAAGACGCCTGGCCAGGAAGGAGCAACAACAGCTCGGACCCAAATAATGAGTTTTTACTTTTGGATGCCGCAAACAAGCGTCTTGAAGGAGGAGAAATTCCAGAACGAATTCTGGAAGCTGTCGTGGTTTCGATTTATGTATACTGTGACTCCACTTCTATTGAACACTATCGGCCGATCCCGCTGTTAACGTCATGGTGCAAGATCAAGGATCGGATGCAGTGTCCATCCATCTCGATATGGGTTCCGGAAATCCGGGAGCACTGGTGGACCCATTTTCGTAGTCAGAGGGTTGCAAGACATGGCACCGAATTGGCAGCAGCACTTTTTTGGTACTTTTTAATTGAAGGATGGCTTTCGACAAGATCGTTTAAATCAAACTTGTCGAACATTGGCCAAGGCTGAGCGAGAAAAGGCTGAAAGTACCGAACAAAATTGTAGAACTAGATCGAAAGCTTCTATAGGGGTCCTCAGTTCACAGTTATTACGAAGGGACATGACTCTGAATGGTTGGCTCAACATACAGGCATAAAACAAGGCTGTCCGCTTCCCCCCTTGTGTATTTTCTTAGTAATGGGAACCTTTTTCTGTACATCAAGGAAATCGAGGCTGACCTCAGCACTCCCAGGCAGCATGTTCGGGGCAAATGCACATTGCGTCAATGCTATCTCTCTACATCGTAACACTCTACATGCAATCGAAATACCTTCAGCATACTGCGGTCCCACCTTGCCCTATGGAAGTGTGTGAATCTCAGTGCGAACCAAAAGCAATCTGATAATCTTCGTTCAGATTCTCCACCACAGGTCGGCTCAAGGCAAGCATGTCCCGAGAAAGGACTTGTGCCTCCTAACTTAGAACTTTGCAAGCAGACCCTTCGACAATAGAGCCGAAACTTCCAACAGAATCGGTGACTATATAGGTACGTTGCAACCGATGTGGAATCAAGCCAACGAAAGAATAAAATGGAAAAGACTCGTATTATGCTCTCACAACTCGGACAAGCCAGACGAATTCTCTGAGTTCGGGTCAGCGACTATTTACATGTAGCCCTAAACCCTAAACCCAGATATTCAATGCTGTCGTCCGATCCAACTGACGCCATGGATTTGGTTTGAACGGGTGCAGCTAGCTAACGCTGAACTCTCAACTTGCATTCCTTCCATCAACCAGAAGGCGGCCAGGCCGGCCAAAAGCAGATTGGACCACCGAAGCTTACAAAAGATGCAGATGATGCGTTGCACGGCGATGCTGATGCTTCTGATGCAAAAAACCTATACATCCGCAGGGCAAGCACCACTCAGATCAGACACCTCTTTTCCACCCTCCCATATCCTTGATGGTCAGTGTCACCGAAGGCATCAATGCCAGACTGGTGACACACGAGGAATCGTGATGTTTCAACACATCCTGTGCCCGTCTTGGATCTACCAGAGCTGAGCCCAGAGCTCAACATTGGGAAACGCTCCTGCAGGCGGTCCAAGCGTTCCTTCCAATCCTGCGCAGGCTTCTCACAGCATCCGCAGGCATCAAATTCTTGAAACCTGCACACCAAGTGGAACTTTTGCGGCTTGCTTAACTGACGTGAAACCTTCGAAGGTCCTCCTCACCAACGCGGAGCTTTGGTTCATCTTAGCGCATCACACCGCGACTTCTCTCAACATACTGTTTCTAGGAGCATTCCGATTTCGCATAAATTTAGTGGCGAATGGACCTTGAATCAAAGGCCTCCTTGTAGGCTTTGGGAGTGTTGGTTTAGGTTCAGTCCATTCCGTGCACAGTAACTCAGTAACAGTAGAAAATAGTAGAAACCGAGGCGTTATTCGAAAGATTTCAGTCGCGATGGAAACCCTGCTTAAACAGGCTGCGTGGTTTCCCATCTATGGCCGACTGGTCGTGCCAGTGAACCCAGTGGGCCCTAGCTGCAAGCATCCAGAAGAACGCCAACGACTTGGCAGAACCAAGGCGTCGGCCATCAGGTTGCGAGGCATCGGCCTCGCAAGAACACCAAGGTTGCGTGCTACGCTTTGCAGTGCTGCAGTTAGTGCTTCGTGGACTCGGCCTCTTTCGGCTTCTTCTCGCGCCTCTGCACAAAGAAACATGGTCTGGATGAGCCAGAACCAGCGGGTCATCATGTCGTGCCGGGGGCTTGGCCTGCAGGCTGTGAAAGCCGGCCCAGCAGCTCCTCGTATCGTCCAGACAGGAGCCAGAAGATTTTGAGACGACTCACGGCAGTGTCCGACCTGCTGGGACGCGCCGAGCAGCTTCAGGGTCCTCCTTGCAGTGACAAACCACCATGGAATCCTTCGAATGGTTACACTCGGATGCTTTGAGCTCAGCCACCACGGGCTGCAGAAGGGGTTTGCCACGTGCGTCATGCAATGGAAGCCAACCTGCGGCCAGGAGTCAGCGCAGCAACTCGACAAAGCACACAACTCTGCGCCTCTGTCGGTTTTCACCCACTGTTCAAGTACCTTCACCTGAGTTGTGATTTGCGGAGGTGTAGCCCATGCAAGCTTCTTGATGACAGCTGGCAGTGCTTGAGCTGCAAGCCACTTCCCCTGCCCCAACGCTGCTGTCCAGTCTGTCGTTGAATTCGGGGCTTCTCCTGGAAAAGTCCGTCGCGAGCTGCGGACAGTTTCCAGAGAATTCAAATTGACATGACATCTCCAAGCTCCCACCACTCGATGAGGAGGCATGTCCCCAAGCCGCGCATTGTTGAACAGTTAAGCATCGGAAGATTCAGCCGTGGCACCCCTTGAGTCCTGTCCTCCAGGAAATTCCATGGGGAGCAATGACGCGAAAAGGCAGGGCACCTGCCAAAAAGTCACGCCGCTGTTCGCTGCGCAACATTCCATGATGGGACCTGTTGTCTAATCATGCAGCTCAGAGTGGCCATAGTCATCGTTCGAAGGCCCAGCATGCAAACGCTGAAAGCTGAGTTGTAAATGTACTTCTCAGAATAGCGCTCAGTCTAGAATCTCTGAGTTGGCCCTTCCTTGCGTACGGGAGTTGGAGCACTTCATCGACTTCAGGAATCTCAGGACCTTCAGGAGGTCTGCATTCGGCATCCTGCACTTCCGGGGATACATGATTCGGGGTTCTTGGTTGGACAGATTCGCCTGCTGCGGTGTCTGCTGTCATCAGTAGTACTTAGTACAGTAGTAGTAGTAGTAGTAGTAGTAGTAGTAGTAGTAGTAGTAGTAGTAGTAGTAGTAGTAGTAGTAGTAGTAGTAGTAGTAGTAGTAGTTTGTTTTGTCACCCACCTGTAGTAGTAGTAGTAGTAGTAGTAGCAGTAGTAGTGGTGGTGGTGGTGGTGGTGGTGGTGGTGGTGGTAGTTGTTGTTGTTGTTGTTGCCGTATGTTGCCGTGGTGGTGGTGGTGGTGGTGAGCAGCAGTAGCAGAAGGGTGCGGCAGCAGTAGCGGTAGCAGCAGCAGTAGCGGCGCCAGCTGTCGTGGTAGCTGGTAGCGGCCGTGTTTTTTTGCGGTCGCCGTGATCGTTGCACTTGTTGTGAGACCAATAGTATATAGAAGTCCCACGGCAACTAACACCCAGCAAAGCGACTGGGCGTGACACACCCAACGACTGGGACTTTGGGAATCAATACTGAAAGGGATGACGCTCGAGGTGACGATGGTGACGGAGCGAGAGAGCATCACATGCCCCGTTGATCGAAATGATCTCGACAGCGAACGAACTACATAGACTTGATATCCAATCTCGGGCACATGAGTTGATGGCTGCTTCTGGCAAGTGTAAACCTTGCTCCATTCTTCACTCTAGCATGGCCTGGGCTTCCCTGCGCTCCTTGCGCTACTCGAGCCTGCCAACCCACACAGCAGCCGTATTTCGGTGCACTCATTGCGCGCGGGATGCCAATGTCCAAAGCCCGGCCTGTTTCTCGTAGCCTCCTCTTATATCCGCCGATGGCGCTGGATTTGCAGTGCAACTTGCAGACCTGGTGGAATCAACACCGGCACGTAGCCCACAGGGCGAACAGTACGCGAAAAAACAACAACCAGTCCACGCCTTCTCTCTTCCTTAGCCATGCGCTGACAAAACAAGACAACCTGTGTTGTGTCTCCCCATGCAGGGCAAACCAGCATTCTTGCAAGTCAATGTGCGATTATGACTTTCAGCATATGGAGCCGTCAAAAGCAGCGCTTTTACGCACAGGTCCCCGAATCATGATCGCGCGAGTGTCCTAAGCAAAGGCCCACTTAAGCCCCATGCAGCCTTCTCTGCTCGCTCATTCTCCTCCGGCCCCTTTGCTTCCCTGAGTGCCAGACATTCACATCCTAAGATGTCGACCGCCTCACCCTTCTGCTTGGATGTCAGAGGCTGGTGCGTGACACCTTGTGCTTTGTTGTTTGCAGAATCCTTCTGCACCTCAGCTGTGGACGTGGTCGGTGCACGGGGTTGTCCATTGAACCCTTCTGAGTGGGGCTTCGGCAACATCAAAGAATGCATAGCGCAGAAAACACTCGAAGAACTTCTTGAACTCCTTCTCTGACAGAACGCCGTCCTTCTCAACCGTGGGTCATGCCGTGCAAGACAGTACAAGACCGAGAAGAGCCACCCTTTGAGTCCTTGTTCAGGTCTGTGGCATCAAAAAATGAGCGCAGGTTGCCCTCGCGTGGCCTGCAGATTTCGCTTCGAGCGCATCCTTTGCATGTGCTGCAACATCTGGGGGGCTGTTCAACCATCCTTCTACTTTTTGGCGAGCAAACATACCGTAATATTCCTCAAGAGCTGGCTTCAAGCGTCGCTCCGCAATGCTGGGAGCACATATTTCGGATTGGGTTCATGATGGTTCATGTCGCCCATTTCGAAGTCTTGGAATCCTGGGAAGAACCTGATAGAGCTCACAGATGTGTAAGCACTGACATGACCAAAACAAAGCACCCCGGACCTTCCCCTGCCGGTCGGTATTAATTCGGCGGCTTTGCGGAAAGGAAGCACAGCGCAATGCCGCGCCCTTCCACTCGACTGTTATCCGCCCGCTGTTTATTCCTAGTTCCAAAACTGTTTGCAGCAGGCCCATCGTCGACTCCGAAACAACGTCCGAGCGGGACGGCTTTGCAGCCCATGCCGACACATCTGCCTGGGTGTGCCGGCTCACCAGTTCGCTTTGATGCTGTGCGCTGGAAAGGGAACATTCGTGTCGTATTTAGTGCACATACTTTTCCGCATTTTGAGTGCCAGAACATCCACCTCGGTCAGACAAGTCAGGCTTGCTGTCTCACCGTCTCTACCTTACAAGTGTACCGGCCAGCGTTTTGTGCCCTGCTCCGACTCCTCGGCACGTGAAGTAGCGTGCTTACTGGCCGGACGGTTTCCTGATCGCCTTCGGGGTTTCCGGATCTTTGAATTGCCTGGACTTCCCGGACCCGAGCAAGGCTGACAGGCTGACAGCGCGAATCACTCAAAATTTGCGTCACCCTTCGCTGGCATCGCAAACTTGCCGGCATCACGGCTGCAAGCCGAAACTCTCGTAAAGGCTGTTCACGAGGGGCAAAACCTGTGAAGTGCTCTGCAGCACCGCCAGAGGTACCGAAGAACAGGGGCATTCAATACAGTTTTCTTCACCCGCAAATGTGCCTCCGACCAGCTCAGCACTCCGTCACCATTGGCGTCGAATCTGGGACAGGTTCAAAATTCAGAATGGCGTGCCACCCCGCCCCGCCCTAGAACGTCGAATCTAAGAGGATCTCTTCCGAAAATTCTCCTTGCACACCGCGGCAAACATGACGGGACCTGCAAGTGAGCGAAACTAGGCAAGTCGTCAGAGTCAGCATTGGAGACACAAGTATCTTTGCTTTCTCCTCGGCTCTCGTTCAGGATAGGGGTTTCACACAGTCTGACATGTGCATGGTCACAGCAATGAACTCAAACCGAGTGCATCGTCACAACCCGTTTTTATGCTGCAGGTTAGGGGAACAGTACATGAGACTGGCATGCGGACGAACAATGCGGACGGCTCCAATCGAGAGGTCTTTTCAAGGATGGTCTGCGTCAATTCTGACGGAGAACAATGACAGCCTCATACTCGAGAAATCTATTGAATCTAATGCTTTCTATACGTTCAACTTCACCCGGAACTACGGCCAATAGCCAATGTCGTCAAACTCTTGACATATGCCATATGCAGCGTACGAGTAGGATACTGCTGAAGGCAACCTCATGCACTTCACTGATTGGCAAGTAAACGAGCTGTCCCCAGCACGACCGCACTCGCACTGTTCCTGCGCAAGCATGCGCTCTCATCGTGCTCCGAGCCCTCTGAACTGTCTTCTTCTGACTGACCATAAGCATGGCCATAAGTGTCCGCTGTCCGGCGAGCACCCCCGGCCGGGCACACTAGAAATCCTATAGAAGCACTTGCTTTCTTGCTTCCTTTCTTGCTCGCTTGCTGGCAAAGAGATTGCGACTGCCCTTCTCCCCCGCGAAGAGGCCCTGTGCGTCAGGCAGTGCTGCGGGAATCGGTTTGAAACTAAGAGCCCCCCAGCAGAATGTCACCATGAAGGCATGCAGCATCACATCTTGGGTGGAATACGCACTTGCATTGCGGGGTTGCCTGACTCCCCGATTTGGAGCCAGGGAGGGGCCCCGGCCTGCCCCTGCGAGCCCCTGCGGCTTGTGGGTCGGTTAGGTTGGTGTTTCCCCGCCCGTGTGGCTGTGTGACTCCGCAACCTCCTAACACCCTCCTAAAGCATGAGGGCCTCCTCAACGATGATCCTAAGAACCATCCTGCTTGCTAGCAGGCGCAGGAGCTCCACTCCCGCCACACAGCATTGCCTACTGCCGAGTTGCCTTCCCACCCCTCCCTGAAGCATTTGCACTCGCTGGGAACCACGGCAAGACACATATGTGCAGAACCTTCGCTTTGGTTTGCTCGGGGGTAGCCCGACCAATCCCCACAACACCCGCGCGCACGTGCGATCCGTGGCAGGTCCAGGTTTTGGCCCGCTTTGGCCTCGGCACCCCGGGTTGCTGTAACGGTTCCCCTGCCACCATTGGCGGTAGCTCCGGTGGGTTGTCATCTGCCTGGTTGATCGCTTCCTGCAAGCTGTCAATTATCACGTCCGCCCCGACACTCAGCTGAATTGAAACTATCATGTGATGTGCTTCTCTCCTCTTGGCGTGGGGTTTGCCTGTCAGGGTTGCACTGGTACACCGGCTCAGCGACGGCTACAGAGGGGTGGATCTTGGATGAAGCAAAGACCATCGACCATTGAGATACTAGGCAATACCTCTTTGTCTCTCTGAAAATCCTTCGTGCCCTGTTCGTTTGCTCCACAAATCTTGGGCTCGACAGGTCTGGATTTGCCCGAGGTCGAGGCTCGTAAGGAGTGTCTTCACGTGCTCCTGGTCATCCTAGGTCCCAGCCCCCATGATGTGCCATTGTGCGCCATGCCCGGCATACCACGCTGAGCTGTCTGCAGGATCAACCTCTCGCTTGCCAGTGCCACCAAGGTCCTGCAAGAATGGCCGCAGACAAGCCTATAGGCCTAGAGAGGCTAGAGCATGCAAGAGCGCCAAGCCATTTTCGCTCCAAACTTCAGCTGGCACAGCGCCACTGCGAATTGACAAACTTTCAAGGGCTCGGCGCAGTGGCAGAGGCAGGTCAGCACGGACGCGGAGGGGCTCTTCGTCCAGACCTGTCAGGGTGTGGCTCTGCAAACTAGCATCACAGCTCTTCATCATTTCATCTTGCGGTGCATGCAAGAAGCTAATAGGCTTGTAATGCAACGCCGCAGTTTGATGTTTGCGAGGCCGGCTTGCGCCACGGCCCGCTGAGTGAGTTTGTATTGCTTGCATGCAATAGTTCCATATGCAACATTGCTGGACAAATCCCTTTCAATGCTGACACATGCTGTGTAGTCCCACCAAGCAAATGCACGCTTCGACGCTTGCGCGCCGTCAGGCGGCAAACATTGCTTTCCCCGGCTGCAGTCCTGCAGTCCTACGTTTCTAAGGGTTCTGCGTTTTGAAATGTTTTGAAGGCCTGAACGGTTGGGAAAGGAAAGGACAGGCAGCTCATCTCGCACTTCCAAGCACTGCATGCTCCCTATTCAAACCTTGGCGTCGCGAGCGGCATTGCAGTTTCAGACCCGATCCATCCATCTACTAAGTGTTACCAGAACCTTACTAGAACAAAGAGACTGATTATAGTGGGGGCCAGCTTAGCCGCGAGCCATCCGAAAATCCTTTTGCCCTTGATTACGCTCAGCTTACGCTATCTCACCAGGTGAACATCTGTAATCTGTTCGCGGCACTGCCAGGCCTAAGAAACGAAGCTCCCAGCAGTGCAGGAACAGCGTGGGGCACCACTGCGAAATGGCAAGCCTCCAAAGGTTATTGTCAGCATGCTATCAGCTGTACTGTCCAAACAGCTGAGGACGCCGCGTGCGCTGCTCATCAAGGCCTGCTGGCAGAAACGAGACCCGCCCCAGCCGCATCCAGCCACCGCAAATGTCGAATGCGCTTTGACTTTCCGCCTTCCCCGGAGGCGTTGCTCGCCTCCGCTCGCAACATGTTGCATCTGTCTTACTGCAGACAAGAGGGTCACGGAAAGTGGGGGAGGCCTTGTTATATTTGTCGTCGCCCACCAAAGGCAAGCCCACCTGAACATGCCGTGACAATGCCGTGAAAGCTGCAGCGCTGCAGAACAAGCAGTTGCTCGTGGCAGACCTATTATAAGATCCAAACACTGGCCAAGTGCGCCCGGATTTGGTGAGTCCTTCGAGCAAGAGCGCTCTTTTCACGCGGCTGCAACAGCGTTCTGTGCAAACGTGCCCCAGTAAACGTCATGCTCCTTCCAGTCACAGGCCACACCTGTAGCAAACAGACTCCTGCAAGAGAGTCTGATGACCGCACTCTCTGCTCAGCTGCTCTCTGGGAGTGAGGCCGTCAGCCAGTCCTTCTTCGAGCAGATGCTGCCTTGTGAACGTGGCCAAAACCTTGTAGCGAGTCGTTGATGGCAGACCGGCTGAAGATACCTGACGCGGAGGCAAAGGCACAAAGCAAAGGTGTGGCAAAACACAGCAGCCCCGGATCATATAAGGCACGGATAGGCCCGGCCTCTGTCCAGCTGTATCCGTTTCCAGCAGATTTAGAGTGAGTGGTCAGCAGTGGGCTTGAAACTTCCCTTTCTGCTCCGGCTGGTGCTAGACCAATGCACAAACACAAGTAGCTTTTGGATATGAGGCGCCCCGCAAACTGTGCCAAGAGCCACCATGCTTGGAGGCTAGTTGTGCTGCCAACTGCTGCAAGCAGCACGCCAGATGTGGGCCGGTCCAAGCGGGAGACTTGTGTTATCCTGGTCTTCAGCTTCGCAGACAGGAAGCGGAGTACATCTTCTGTGGAGAAGCCGGCAGGTTTGGAGACAGCGACGAGGCCATCGGACTGGTACAGCAGCGTTAATGAAGGCAGTCTAGGCAGCCTGCTCCTCATTGCTGCGAAGTCTTCTCGGTATTCGCTCATCTCGGCAATTGGCCCGAAATCGGCACCATGACGAGCACATCCAAAAATGTCTTGCCATCCGCTAGAGCCGAAGTAAGCACCTGCGAAACGAGCTCTGCACAGACTACGACATGCGCAATTCTGACTGGAGGGACGAGTGGAGTGCTCTGCGCCTCGAAGAGCTTTGAGCAGATCAGCAGCACGCTCGAATCCCAATTCGCCTTGCAGAGCAGCTATGGCGGAGCCTGCCTCCACTCCGTTTGCCATGAAACACGACCTAGCCATTGTCTTGATCCTGGCAGCTCTAGGGCTCCAATTCGGCTGAGTTCCGCACGCATGGTAAGGTGCGTACTATCATTTACAGGAGTGGCAGGTATCAACTTAAATGTCAAGTTAAAGACTAAAGCTTCAAGCGTCATAGCGAGGGTGTGCTCCCATTTGGCTTGCTGCCCACAAGTGCTGAGAATGCTCGCGTACGTAATGTGGGTTGCCGGCACCGTCATCTCCTGCAGGATCTGCAGCGCAATACCCCAAGCGGAACCTTTCCCACAAGCACTTAGCATTGCATTCACCGTCACTGTGTTCTTGCGGATCTGAGCAACTTCCATTTTCTGGAAAAAGTCCATGGCCAGCAGCCACTGTTTCGCTTTCTCGCAGGCACTGATAACAGCACTGTATGTGATTGTGTCCCGTTGCAGCTGGTCTTTAGACATGTCCAGCAACAGCTGCGTGACAAGTTGCCACCGCTGTGCCCTGCTGCATGCGGTGATCGCAGAATTAAAAGTAATAGTGTTACGCTGCACTGTGTCGCAAGCCATGGCTGCCAGGAGTTGCAGTGCCGCTTCCCAGCAGTTGCTTTTCTCACAAGCACTGATGGAAGAGCTGAAGGCAATCGTACTTCGGCCAAGATTGGACTCTATCATCTCTTTCAGGACACCGAGGGCCATGATCCAAACGCTTGCTTTCTCGCATGCGCTGATGGTGGAGCAATACGAAAAAGCATCTAGTTGCAGGCCCCTCTCCAACATGGCCTTCAACATCTCGAAAGCCATGGTCCAGTGGCCAGCCCTTGCTACTGCTGCTATTGCTGTGTTGAAATGTATCGAATCCGGCTTCAGCTCGACCTCTTCTAATCTCGTCACGAGCTCCAGCACCTCCAAGGCTGATTGATGTGTATTGACCAGGAGTGCGTTGCGTGCTGTTACCAGGCTCGGGCGCACGCTTCGGGACAACTTTAGACTTCGGATTTTTGGAGCCTTATGCGGTCCTCAACTGGCCGCGCAGGTGCTAGGTTGCGATGAAGCAGGAAGGAGCATGCTTTTGCCTATGATATCTCTAGAGTCAGGTGACGCGGGGCCTATTGCCTTGGCACCTGCCTAGCAGCAGACGTCACTCAAGCTTACACATTGCTGAGCAGCTGCACCTGAGGCCAGGCAGTTTTCTTGACCAGACCGGAGAGAGCTGTAGTGACCAGCTTGGGGTTTTCGCGCCAGGCGGAGGGAATCTGCTGCTCTGGCATCACCTCCTCTGTGTAGCTGTTGGGGTGCAAAGCAGCCCTGGAGACATGGCTGAAAGCAGCCAAGTATTCCATGAATTCGTGGCAATTGAGATCTATTGGCTGCAGAGAAACCGGCACACTACAATCACTACATATCACTACTACAACGTCAACCAAGGCGCCGCTGCAAGAGCTGCAAGATGCTGCCATTAGTGAACCTGCCCTTTCAAGCACATGGTGGCCTGATATAGTGATAACTTCACAGTCCGAACTATCACATCGCCGATGCTGGACCTGAGAAGACCTTCATGCAACCTGCCCAAAGCTCTGCTGCGCGCTCCCGAATGGCAGCTGCAGCCTGACCTCTCAAGTTACGCGATGCAAGTAGCACGAAGTGTCCACTCGTAACCTAGTCTGGCACCATCACGAACCACATGGCTCACCCTAAATGTCAGAGCAGGCCACACTCATTCCACTGGCTTGAAACTAACTGGCATCCCAGAGGGTCTCGCACGATCTTAGTCTTGGAAACACTGAGAAGATAAGAGGCTTGAGAAGGACAGAAGGGGATGTAGGCTGACGGATGCTGTGCAGTCAACGAAGCGAACCTGCGTGGCCATTGTTTTCTCGGAGGATGGCAGCCACTTTGGCTGCTCCTGCACGGCCACGCCAGGCTGCTGAAAGTTTGGAGTCCCGTCCCGCCTGTATCGGGGAATCGCTCGCAAAGCCGATCCTAGTAGTGAGGGAAAGCAAAAAAAACCAGGATCGTTCGTACTTCAGGCAACGACGAAGATAGCTTGCCATGCTTGCTCTTCTGGCCTTGCTCAAAGCAACATCTTCAACCGTTTGCATTCTCCGGCTCTCTTGAAGTCCTAAAGTCCTAAAGCCTGGCTTGCCAAGGACAGAGCTGCAGATGCTCCGACGGTGCCATCGCTGAAAAGTCTGCTGTCAGTTGCTCAGTTGGACACAGAAGGACAGCTTGAAATGCCTGCTTCTGATGCTGTGACTACCTGTGACGGCAGAGACTAGAGGATCGCTTGGAGTGTCTTCGCAAAAGTGGAAGGCATCATGCGACACGCTGCAGGCCGTGCGGTTGTGCCAGCTGCCAGATCTGTGTTGCTGGGCCTCGGAAGGATTTGAGCCTTCAGATCGCAATGCGCCGAATGTGCCTTGAACGACAAATCAGCGAATCAGCTGACAGATTCGGTCAGGTGACGTTTTCGACAAGCCTTTCAAGTGGTTTACAGGCAGCCCGGCAAAAGACAAGTCGCATGAGGAATCGGGGCCAGTGGTGCCGTATGTGCGAGTATTGCATGTAGTGTGGAGGCAGATACCAGAACAAACTCATACAAGTTTGCCTTCGACTTGTGACACTCCGGACATCGCTTTGCAAGTAAAAATATCGTACGGGGTGCACCTGAAACAGCCTGCTCTGCAAGTGTCCGGCGCGCAGCGCAATGCTGAGAACTACCACGGTTCGCACTGGAAGGACAAAAGGCTTGAGCTTTTCGGTCGTGCCGGGTCATTGACTCAGCCTCGTCGAGCTGATTTCTGGCATTTCTCAGCACTCAGGAGGCTCTTAGCTGCACTCCTTCTTCGGGAGTCAGCCTGGCTCTCGGATCCTCAACGTGAGGTGAATGCCATTAACATAAAGTGAGCCGCAAATTGCTCGTGCTCAATACGGTTGCAGATGTATGCGCATACATATGCAGTTCGTAGGTCCCAAATTGTAGGAGTATGTTGCCCTGAACTGAGTGCGGATCGAACACGAAGGTCGCTTCGCGACTCAATGTCAAGGTTGGGAAATCCGACGAGATCGGTGTGGTCACTTGAACTGTCCGCCGGAGACACCCAACATTGCTCGGCTTCTTGCGAAGCCGTCTGAGGCAATCCAGCCTAAAAGCTCCCGTCCCAGCAGAATGCAAAACCTCGAAAAACTGGGCTTACATGTTGCCTGGGCTACAACTTGTTACAGAAATTTATGGACGCGTGGCGGGTCAGAAAGGCAAGACATATAGAGTCACCCAGCCCTGCTCAGCAGTCTGCTAGACTCCGGACATTTTCGGTGTGCCGGTACATCGTATGCTCGATGCATAGCACAAGCGCTCTAGCGGCCCTGGCGCACTTGTCCAGTGCGCTGCTGCAAGATTTACTT